TGTCTGACATATAGCCTGAGCGGTGCTTTTATGTTAAAAACCGTCTTGATGTGGATTTTTAGAACTGTGGCGGCGATACCTGAAACCTGCGAGCGCTCGCTGGTGGACAAACAATTACACTTCTGCTTCTCAAAAGGTTTCTCCTTGAAACTGTCACTAAGTGCTTGCTCATGGTGGGAATTGTTGAATGGTCTAGACTCTAAATGAAAAGTGTCCTGTCTCAGTAATGTCTTCACGCCTGTGCAAATACATCGGCAGTTGCTGGTTGTTGCGTAACATATGGCCCAACTGTAATACACGTGATACAAACAGTCTGCAGGATTGTTTGGTTTCTTCAAATACTAACAAAGATATTAAAAGAAAGTAGTGCTGGTTAAGGTAGTGCTGAAAACAACTAAAAAGATCCCTTTGATATTTAATGGTCATTGGTCAAAACAAGAAATGGAAACCAGGAATTTAAAGGTTGAAAGTTTCTGAACAAGTCAAACAGGCTTAAGTCTGAGAAGTACTTTTCTTTTGTAAGGGAAGAAGCACAAACAGAGTGAAATCTAGAGTACAGAAGTCATATTTATATTAGCATTTAGAAAATATAGAGACTTTCCATTGTTGATTGTTGAACTCTTCTGCTCATATTGTCTGACATTTTTGGGCGTTGGATAATCTTAAAGTAAATATTTCCGGCAGTTTTTACATGATCACCCCACAGTGAAAGTCGATACGTCCCTGTTACCTGCTGACCCCTCATATCTAACCAGCAGAACCAGTGGTTTAATGATTAACAAAACCCAGTCATGTGTATAAAGGGAGCTTTCCACATCAGTGTCTTTGGCAAAAGCTAAAGATTATAGTTGTTGTTTTGTAATTTATGGATGTGTTGCCAGTGTTTGACCCTTACTGATCTATCCACCAATTGGACAGTTTCTTGGTGTTGATTTCAGGTCCTGCTTGTTTCACAATCTGCCTGTTGGTGTTATTAATCATTACTGTTTTACATTTTGTTGGCAGAAGTCAGTAGTGGGGCAAATGTAAACAGGATCTTTATACTTGGTTTGCAGTCAGGCTTAAAATACATGCTTTACATGGGAGTTTACTAGCATGCTGTTTACCCTGCTAATGTTTTTTTCCGTCTGTATTTGGCTCCATCCTTGTTTACGCTCAGCATTAAAATGCATCTTGTTTTTATTTGAACACAAGTGGGCAGTTTAAGAAAAAGTTGGTTTTCCAAACAACTTGAACATGGTTACCAAATCTGTAGCACCAACAAGCCTCTGCAGTCCTCTGTCTAGCAGTGTGCCTCTGTGGATATGTCTTTATTTTCTGTTTTCACACATAATATGAAATGTTATTACAAATTGAAATTGAGACACATTTTCTAAACGGGACCTTTGATGACCTCCAAAGGAAATGTTAAGAGTTATCAGCTATTCGCACACTTCAAGTGGTGGTGGAAAGGACATCTGTGACTGGGTGTTCTGGTAAATGCAGCAATCCTTCACGTGTGTGAAACGTGTCTTCTACTAGTGAGTCAGAGAGAATGACCTGAGTTGTGTACTGTATGTAGGCTCAGTGTCTGTTTTGTGTCTTGGATGTTGGACTTGAGGTCTTGTTATCTTTATTCCACCTGTGTGAGTCTGGACATTTACACGCACTTAAATAACCAGGCAGCAGTCTGGATTCTGCAGTTGTCATGTAAATGAGAAACCTGGTTTTCGGCAATTGGTATACAGTATCAGAGAAACCCGATTTTCCCAGCCAGACTCTCTTAGAGAAAGCTGATCTCTTGGCCATCTATTCATGTGTTGCTGATGCTCTTGGTGTGGCAAAATGTATTTATGTAGTGTATAAAAATAAGTCTGCTGTGGTATTCTGGTGAGGGTTTTTTTTTTGTGCGTTTCTTTTTAGACCATGGTGTCATCTGCAGGTTGCATTATAGTCAGTGTCCATTGCTCTCGCTGCATCCATTCACACACTTGTATTTTTGGGCTGCAACTAACAATTATTTTCATTGTCAGTCATTCTGCTGATTATTTTCTTGATAAAATGTTTTCTACAGAAAAAAATCTGACAATGTTGGAAAAATGACCATTATAATTCCCCATCTTCAGTTGTCTTGTTTTTTCTGACCAACAGTCGTGAACCCAAAGGTATTCAGTTTACTTTGTATGACAAAAGAAAATCATTAAATCCTCACATTCATGAAGCTGGAACCACTAATGCTTTGGCATTTTTGCATAAAAAAACAAATTTTCAATTGACAAAATGGTTTCAAATACATTTTTGCTGTACTGACTAAGCATCACAGTTCTATTGTGTATACAGTATGTGTTTAGGGCAGCACAGTATCTCTTTAAATAGTGACAGCTGAACTGTGATAGTGCACTGAGACCACGGGTGTGTCCCTTGTCCGGTCATATCTGGTAATGCCGATCGATGGAGTGATCTAAAAATACAGATGAATACTTAGTCAAATACAACATAAATTATTTCTTCACTTGAATTTCCTCTCTGTTTTTCAGTGCTACGTCCTCTGTCTTTTATTTACATTTGTGAATTGTGAAGGTAGTGGTGCAGATCTTCAGCATGTGAGACTGGCTTTAGGAGCTCTTCCTGTCGCTGATATTTGTCTAGTGTTTTTCTTCAGGCCAAGCTCCTCACAGCTGTTGACACACCATTTTTTTCATATCTTTTCAGGTTTAATCCTACACTCCCCTCCCTCTTACCTTCCTCCCTTCCTGGTTCTCACCCCCTGCCCCATTGGCTGTTGTTCCCCAAAGGGCAGAGCTAAGTATGGGGTAAGAGAGCTGAGAGGAGACACCAAGACAGCACAAGCTGAGGAGGCCCTCTAACCTGCACAGGTAAGATCACACAACATGCACTCTCACCTTCGGAAACACATGCAGCATATGATTAGGTATGTACATATAGAGATCAATCTACATTTAAAAACACTACTAAATGTGTGTCTTCCACTTATCTATTAGTCTTAAATTTTAATTGGCATTCAATTTGTGTGAAGATGACTTAATTTTGAACGGTGTGTTCAAGAAAATTTCCATATTTCACTTTATTTGATCTTTTATCAACCAAGGCCTGACTCCAGCGTGAGGTATTTAAATCTGTGCAAACAGAACCTTGAAACTCATTTAGATAAATGCTAAAATCAGTCACACACACACACACACACCCAGACCCACACACACATCCCTTTATAACCTGATACTGCCATTGTTTTCCGCTGTCACCCATCCCCCACGCAGGTGAGACTCCTCACCTCATTGAACGTTTTATCAGGTGGAAACCGCAGTGGTCAAACACAGCCTGGCATTGTCCGGTAAATTACTGCCAGATGTAATCAGCGTGCTGCAGACCTGCTTTCTGTGCTGATCAATGTAACTGAAAACTGCATCAAAGTCCATCTGGCAAGCTGTTGTTGCCAGGATCTAACCTGCACTGTCCACAAATTGTTTGTTTTAAGAGCCCAACAGGTTGCTACACTGGGTATATACATTGATTTTTACATTGTTTGATTTTTGGACAATATGCAAAATGGTAACTACAAACCATGTACAGATGAACCTTTTTCACCTTTTAAAGTTCACTCCAGTTGGAACTTCAGTATTTTGGAGGCAGAAATATGTTTTTGTTGACAAAGACTACATACATGAAGATTACAAACACATTGTGAAACAAGCATTGCTTAAAACGATGAGAAAAATGTCTCCTTTATAAAAGAGGCAGAAGCGGAAGCTGCTGAATTTATAATCAGATTCAACTGAAGTTAAACTAATCCACCTTAGATGGAGGATGTTCATTCTTGATTGAATTGGTTACTAAATATTTCTTTTAATGTCATTTCATCACGGAACTGTCTGTGAGTTGTGTTTAAGTGAGAGGAACTGGAGGTTGTACTAAAGACTGGATATAGCTGGATGGCTTTAGATGTATAGATGGCCAGAGAGGGACATCTTGTAACCTGCAAAACCCATTGTGCATCACACAAAACTATAACCCACTGCTTACACTAATTAAAAGTTATATTTAATTTAACACATGTATATATTAATTTCTATACCATGGCCACGGATGCTTGGATGGACGGAAATGCTTGTTTCTGATTATATTGCAAATAACAATAGCAGTAGTGATGGTATTAACTCACTAACAGTTAAGCTCAGAGGAAGAGATACCACTCTGCTTTGTGTCATGCATTATCATTTTCATGCATTACCACATAAGTGTCAAGCAACTAGTCTCCATACAGTAAAAAGTCAGTAATCCAGCCAAAAACATTCTCGCAGACGCACCACTCTCTCCCTCTTCCACTGTCTTTACAAGTACTCTGTTCTACTATTAAGTACAGTCATGATGTTCTTGCTGTGTGGCTTTGTGTGTCTGTTCTTGATGAACCGAAAGATCTTGCAAAGTTTGCAAAGACATCCACAAGCGTAATAAACAGAAAGGTGCAGTTTGAATTTTGGAGGGAAAACACTAGGCTAATGCATGAGTGTATTTAGTCCCGCACTACTGATGGTTAATGAGACATCCGCATTCTGTGGTCTTGTCAACATGTTGTTTAGTTTCCTTCTTTAGAATCTCCCTTCCCTCACCCACTCATTTCCCAGAAGTCTCCTTGTTTGTAGGGAGATGGCAAAGGACAGGAAAGCTTAATTATCCATGAGAAAAAGAGAGCGAAAGGAGGGGGTCCGAAAAGAAAAGGCTATGTCTGTGCTTGTCCTTGCTTGTAATATAACACTGATATTCCTTCAGGATTATATATCATCATCCTGTGGGGATGTGACTTGCTTTTCTCCTTGTTTTCACATAAATATGAGCAAATTTCAAGAGGAGGGAGAAGAGAGGCTAGGGAGGAGGACAGAAGAAGACAGGCAGACGAGATGAGGAAATCAAGGGGGTAAACAGGGGATAGGGAGTGGGAAAGAGAGCAAACACGGGCGCAGCAGTGCAGAGTTGTTGCTAGGAGGCTGACAGGGCAACATGATACAGAGGCAGGAAGGATATAGGCAGCGGTGCAGAGGGAGATAAACCCACTGAAGTCATGGATAACTGACATAAGTCAGTTATCCATTCTAACTTGTCAGGTAGAGTTCACCCACCTTTTTAACTGTTTAAGTTTCCAATAACTAGTATCACTGAGCAGAAACTTTAATGCAATTCATTTTTCTCTTTTGGGTGTATCTTCCACAATATCTATAGCTCTATCATATTATGACGCAACTTTAATTCCTTCACTTTTTATCTAGCACCATCAGCCCCTGCAAAACTAAACACATTTCCATCAGGCTCAGCTGTACTGTTTTTAGAGCTAAATAGCAAATGTTGGCATGCTCAAAGTATTGCTCTGCCTAAACACAGCCCAACACACAGAGCTGCTAGCATGGTTGTGATGTCTTTTCTTCTTTTCTGATTTACTGAAAGGGTCCAGAAGTTTTAAAAAAAAAAGAACTGCCCCCAAATCACCATAATATCTCCCAGATGTTGAGACTTTTGACTTTTTAGAGCTAACCCTCTGGCCTGTTGGCTCAGCAGCAAAAGCTGCACACTTATATCCATTATATGTTTTGTTTTATTAGTTTCAAAGGGAGTCTTCTAGTAGCCTAGGGGCTTAAGATGTTGACCATGTTGTCGCCAGTTTGGCTTGGGATCTTTATTGCCTGCAGCGCTTGAAATTAAGGATGTGCCATTGCGTGGGGATGATACAAATAGCACCCGGGACACAAAGATACAGTGTCTGAGGCTATTTTGGGACAGTAGAGGAATGTATCATTAGAAGTGAAATTATTACGGTTATGTGTTGTGGAATATATATCATTTTAACTGTGAGGTACCAGAAACCAGTGTTCCTATCTTGGTGACCTTCTCAGTAGATTTAGCCATTTTTTTTCAGACCCTTATTTCTAAAAAGAACTAGCAGAACTTCAGTGGCGGGCCAGAGTGAGTCAATGAAGTGATGCGAGTTACTGAAACAGTTATTAAACTATATTCATTATGTAGAATGAAAAAAGAACTTCAGTTTGAGGCAATGGGTGTTGAGTTTCACACTGCTCAAAGTGAAATTGGGGACCGTTGTGGGCAACTGAGGGGAAAAAGTTAATTTCAAGGCCTGATTGCCCTGATCCCTCCCTTTCTCTCCCAAGACAAATCCACGCAAAAAATATAAGTAATTTAATAATCGTGGATCATTTTGGTAATTCAGTCTTTTCTGATCATCGTTGGTACTGCAAAAATTTCAAAAGTGTAGCTGATCAATAACATTCTGAAAACCCTACAGCGCCTCAAGCAGACGTACAGTGGATGTGGCTGCCTCACTGGCAAGCATAAAAAGGATAAAGCAACAGGGAATAAGAGGCCCAGAAAGTGAAGGGAAGAAGGTCGAACAGACATTTTCAGTAAGGCAAAGAGAATGCTATCAGCGAGAATATGTGAGCCAGCCAGACCAGAAACCTGAGGCACGCTCAAACCTCCTGAAAGGCTGTATTGTCTGTTCGAACCCACTACTCCCATGTTGTCCTCATTTCTTTTGTTTTTTTTTTTCATTTGACGAAATGGCCCTATATCCAAAGTGACCATACACCCTCAGTTATCTATTAAATTTCCCTCTGCCATTATATTGCTGCAGTTAAGTTAACAACATGTCATAATCAGTAAATATGGCAGTATGCTTCAGTTGAAGTGCAAATGGCTGACATAATGGCTGTGATTCCACGCTTATTGGCAGGCTTTGTTACAGGATAATCTTATAATATGACCTCGGGTGCACCTCTTTCATTGCAGATAATTGTCTAATAGTTTTATTTCATTTAGTTTGGACTACAGCCACAACTCCCAGTTTATGCATGCATGCAGCTAAGTGATTGCGATAACTGCCTGTTTTGTCAGCGCGCAACATATGGACAAACACACACACACACCCTGCTGGGTAACCTGGATGGCATCTGTTGGTTGTTGATTTGCAGGGTTTGCAGAATGGATTTTCTGTCTTAAAGTTACACAATGGTTGAAAACACAAGATTTACTGGGTTAGCAGGGAAGCAATAGGTGAAAGGGATTAGTGATTTGACTTGTGGTAATAGGTTTAAGCCCTGTTTGGCCAGCACCACCCGTCTGAAGTGTATTTAAAAGGGAGAGACACTGGCTCTTGTTTTACATAATATGTGAGTGCTAACCACTGATGTCTGCCCCAGTGGGTGTAGTTGGGTTGCTGAAATAGACCCTTAAAGGGATCAGTGAAGTAACAATACCACTAATGTCTTCATGCAAGTGCAATTTTCTTTCCAGTGCCGTGCCATTCGGTTATGACAAGTGATCCATGTACACGTGATCCATGAGACATCTGAGGCCGAGAGCAGTTGGCTATGGTGGTAAAATTTGGAGGAGTGGAAATGTGCTTTCAATTTCCTGATATTTCATCTATTCTGAATGACATGGTCAGGCTCCTCAGTCTGACCTTGTGTCACAGTGGTCTTGTGGTTGAAATATCTTCTCTTCTTTCTTAACAACAAGAGAGAAGTGGTAAAATGACACAATTCACCATTGTGCCACCCTTAACTGACCATAAAAACAGTCATTACTGTCTCGTTTTCCCTGAAATAGAAAGCACATGACCGTTACCCTGGAAAATCAATCGATTTTTCCATCAGGGCTTCTTATCAAGACTGACTGAAGTTTTTGAAAAGGCTCAGTTGTATGAACGATCTGTTACAAACATGTTTTCCACAGTAGTACACTTCCAATCCATCACTGACAGGTTTGATTAAAAAAAATCCTATAAAGTCAGTTTTTTTTCAGTAGCTGCTTTCCCTAAATTTACACTGTTGAGGAATCTTCCTGTTTAAATTTGTCTGATATAGAGTTTGTGTTTTTCTTAATTATAGATATTTTTGGCAAACTCCATAACTATGCTGTATATTAAACACTGTTCGTTTATTCGTTCTGTTTTTTTTAGATGCAAAACACAACAAGAGAACAGGTAACATGACCAAAATCTATTGTAATAATCACCAGTAGAGACAGACAGCAGTTCCCCTTACAAAACGGAGGGAAAAGGCCCTGGGTAATTTAGTGTAGGTAGAACAGGAAGTCCTGATGTCCCTTTACATAATGACCAGACTTCTAATAAAATATTAACACCCTCTATCTCCAGTGGATAATCCATATTGTGCACCAGAAACTAGACATAATTCCTTCCAGGTTATCAGTCCACTCTGATATTGTAGTGAAGCATTTTCCTATCCCTAACATCATTATTTCTTTTCCCCGTGTGTCTGCTCAGGTGGTGACGGGTGCAGGACGCTGTCATGGCACTGCTGCGGAGGAGGCTGAAGCTTGTGGTGACAGTGATGATGATTAACCTCTTCATCTTCATCCTCATGTCCCGACAGAGCAGCCAAGACAAAAACGGGCATCACAAGGTCCAAATCCCCTCCAAACCCTTCTGGACCAAACTCGTTCCCAGCTTGGCTTACTGGAACCGCCAGCAGCAGATTCTAGACCTTCAGAACAATCCCATCCTGATGACTAACTACAGCACCGCAGACACGCCCGATTGGCTTAACGACACCAGTTCGACCTCTGACCCATGCCAGTCTAACATCAGGGTCACCACTCAGGTGAAAGACTACAACTCTCTACCGCACCGCTTCAAGGACTTTCTGCTTTACATGCACTGCCGCTCCTACCCGATCATGATGGACCAGCCTGATATCTGTAAGAAGCCGCCGTTCCTACTCCTTGCTGTCAAATCCATGGCGCCGCACTTCGACCGCCGCCAGGCCATCCGTCAGTCCTGGGGGCGGGCGGGTGTTATAGCCAATCAGACGGTAGTTACTATCTTCCTTCTCGGCAATGCCACAGCTGGGGACCACCACCCGGATCTGTCTGAAATGCTGCAGTATGAGAACGCCCACCATAAAGACATCATCCAGTGGGATTACCGGGATTCATTCTTCAACTTGACCGTCAAGGAAGTTCTGTTCCTGGAATGGATCCAGACTCGTTGCTCTGGTGCTCGCTTCATCTTCAAAGGCGATGACGATGTCTTTGTAAACACCTACCGCATCCTGGACTTCCTCAAGGGCCTCTCAGAGCCCAAAGCCAGGGACCTGTTTGTGGGTGACGTGATCCACAACGCGGGGCCACACCGAGACAAAAAGGTCAAATATTTCATCCCAGAGAGCATGTACATCGGGACATACCCTCCATATGCAGGAGGGGGTGGGTACCTCTATTCTGGTGACGTCGCTGCTCGTCTGCACAACGTGTCACAACACGTAGCGCTCTACCCGATAGATGACGTCTACACGGGTATGTGTCTTAGGAAGCTCGGGCTGGCCCCCGAGAAGCACAAAGGCTTCAGGACCTTTAACATAGAGGAGAAGTACAGGTCAAACCCCTGCGCCTACAAGAGCTTAATGCTCGTTCACCCAAGGACCCCACAGGAGATGATCCAGATCTGGGCCTGGCTCAGTAGTCCGGACCTGAACTGCCAGTGATTGCGCCGCAGCAGGCAGGGACTGACGGAACCGGCCCTTGAAAAGAAGATGTTTTAAGCCTGTTCACGAAAGGTCAAAGTGACAAAAAATACATTTTGAACAGGGTTATGACTTAAAAGTTGGCAGCTTGAAGGTAAGATATTATTATGAAAGGTCACTTTGAGCCTCAACTCGGAGCAGATGATGCATTGTACCTCTAAAAATGAGGAAGGCTGCATTAACGCTATTTTTCAAAATGGCCACCATAGTATTTTGACTTGATGTCAGACTTCCATAGACGAGCTAACCCTGCTTTACTGTCGAACGAGCTTCACCCAAAGTGACCGTGTCTTTTTTTTGCGTGCACATATTTATATCACAACTATTTATAAGGCCTTTATAATGCTTTAACACTGTGTGTGAGCTCCGTGGTGGAGCGTCTCAATGCTGTATTATAAAAGTAAGGAGACTAAGAGGTGGGGTGTGTCCACCTGGGACTCTTTTTGTTGTTTGGTCAAGGGGAAAGAAAATGTGTCAGATTATGACTGATGACAAAATGATCTTGTTGTGAGCGTCTTGAGTGTCTTCAAACATAAATATAACAGTGAAGCTCTTGAACTTCACTTCTTTGTAGCCGGTGGTTGTTACAATGTGTTACAAAGTGCTTCCTAGTGAACACTTCCTAGTAATTTTTGCTGGAGGCTGAGTTTGTGCTGCTATTCCCATCCACACTCCCTAAAGTATTTACTTGTGACTCGCTCCAACTCAAGCTCAACCAGTTTCTCTTAGTAAAGACTAGGGAGACTCATGTTTGGTTCACCGTTAATTTGTGTTAATTTACAAACCGTCTTAGGTCTTGAAAAGGAGTTTGTTTTACCTTAACTTCTTTAAATAAATTCTATATCCTAAAGTTTATAGGTTTCACTCTTTATTTTGTTAAGGAAAGTTTCTTTGTTTCCTATGATTTTAGTTTTAAGTGGTAGATATATCGCATTACAACCAAACTTCAAATCCTCACAAAGAAATTTTGAAATGGGGTGTTTGGTGGATGGAATACACACTTTGCTTTCAGGAAATAGGAGGAATACAAGTCGAGCTCTGCACTGCTCAGTAGGTCTGGGCTTGGGTTTGACATGAATGGAGAAATCCAAATGCTGTCTAATTCTGCTTCAGGTTCTCACTTTACACAAAAAGTAGAACTGCTCGTATAAACCAGAAGTGCATTTTCAGAGATAGGTGTTATTTCAGACTGCCGGAGTGGAGCCTCTGTCTGAAATATTTGCACTTGCCTCATGAGTGTCTGCAGTTGTTGTGTTGAATGCTGTTGTGTGTGTCTAAGCCACCTTAGTATTTGTTACTTGGCAAATTGTCTATGCATTGTTCTCTAATCATTTTGAAGACTTAATTTCAAAAAGCATCCATTTATGGAGGAAAGGGTGTCTTATTGTCTCGACTCCCTGTTTTGGGGCGATACAGACGAAAGAACTCATGATAATTTGTGGCTCCAGATATATTCTGAAATCTGTTTTGCCCTCTTTCCACGCCGAAGTTTGAAAATGGTGGAAAACTCATTTTGGAATTAAAGTCTTCAAATTATCGAGGTTACTGCTCAGCTTACTACTGTATGGCTTTAGCACAAATGCTGTTTTTTACTTGCTTTACGAGAGGAGGGCCGAATATATTCACTTTGCGTCTGTGTTACACAATGTTCCTTTTTAGCCGTATGTGGGACACTTGAAACATATTGACAGTTTTCAGACGCACCTTTTTATGATATTACATGTCACCAAGATTGAAATGACTACAGAGAAGGAGATGCTCTTTAGTTTCTCTAAAACCCTGATCAGAGAAGTGTGTTATATGAATGTATATCTTTGCCCAGGTTTATGGTCATTTGATTAATTAAGAGTTCCGTTCAAGAAGTGGATTTTTCTTCAGTATTCATGGTCAGAATTCCCACAGGACCCAGTCAAGTCAAAACTGAAAATAAGTTGCATGAATGTTTGTTTCAGTCCAATGTTTAAATTGACCCTGAACCTGGTTGTTGCGTTTCTGATCTTCGAGAGGAAGGGCGGATGTTCCTACGCCTCTGTTACAGCTCCCCCTGCTGGTCAGGGTGGTGATCTTTAAGCTTCAGACTCAGCTTTATACAGACCCAGACCCAGAACTGTAGTCCTCATTTATTTTTTCATGTTTTAACTATCCGTTCATTATCTCGGTCTTAGACTTTAAAGAATGTTGTCAACTTATCTCTCCGTTTCATTCTTTACGTCACTAATGTAACCGTTTGGGTCGTGCCACACAAGGAAAACCGTTTAGACAATCATGAGGTTCTTAAAGGTTAATTTTGTAAAAGTTTCTTCTGGGATTACCTACTCATTGGACGCTATTTTAATTAACTTAATGCAGTGGAATCAGTCTATCTCCATGTAGGATAAAACATAACACTTTAAAGTATTTAAATCAAAGCGTCGTCTATTCTCTTCTTCTTATTTGGGTCATGAATCCGTCTTCACTGTGGTTTCCCACTGCTCACATACAAACAATAGGTTACATTATGTTCTTGCTGCACACAGTTTGCGGCTACTTGAAATGTTTACATGCTTTAAAAAGTCATCACTTATTTTTATAATTGTTGCTTCTTTCTGATGCCTTGTATTTTGGAATTATGCGTCACTGCGCTTTTGTTTTGTAATTTTGCTTCACAGTTTTCCTTTGAAGGACCATTTCCTTTACATGCACAACTTAGATGTGTGTTTTGACAGTCAGTGTTTCTCTGGTGTCAGTAGCCAGGATATTTCATTTTCTAAACTTCTGTAGATGCTGGTGTTGTTTTTCAAGGCAGTAAACCCGTGTGTATAGAGAAACATCCTTTTACTGTCAATGTGCAGTGAAATGTCAATGTAGCTCCAGCTTCAGGATTGCAATACACATGATAACGTAATAGTCAACATGACGGGGACACATTTCCAGACAAATAAATCGACATGATTGCAGCCAGGGAGATAATATCCAATAAACTCTAACAATAGTAAGAAGGAATCATGTTTTCTTCACTAGTTCACTTCACTTCTCACGTTGACCAACATACAGCGTTTTGTGTTGTTGTTGTTTTAATTTATTTAATTCATCAGGACTGAGGATCAAATATCTGTCTTTTGTTACCTAGAGAGAAGCATTCAAATTTCGAAATGAAATGAAATGAAAATTTATTTTCAGATGAATCCTTGCTTTCATAAGCCATTAAATCTTTTCCTTTTATTGTACATTGCTGCGTTCGCACCTGTTAACATTGTGTTTCAGTATGTCATTACTGTGTTACACAACACCTGCACTAGTCAGATGAATACCAAATCTGTGCCTGATGTTTGTATGTACTGTATGTTTAAGATTATCCTTCAGCAGCCATGTTAAGCTTGATCGCTTTTAATACAGAAAATGACTTGATAATTTCAATAAAGTTATATTTTGCTGTTTTTGTATATCTGTTCTATGCATTATTGTAATAAAAACAAATAAATTATGAGTATAAAGCCATTTTGTTCCTCTGTTTGCATCACTGACTAAAAATACAATTAAATGAATATTAAATATTTTTTTTAATTAAAATTTTGTTCGTATTTAATGTATTATTGTCATCAGACAAATTGTTGTTTCTGTGCTTCAAACCATCCATTCTCCTTAGGCCCCGTGTATTTGAAACGAAAGAGAGAGCGTTGTTTTTGATGATCCTCATTCTTATTTGCATTGTGTCAACAATTTTGGCTTGTGACCCTTTAAAATAAAGGAATAGATACTTGTGACATCACAGATTATAAAGAGAAAAACAAATAGATTTTGGAAATACATAATTTGAAATAAAATCACATTTAAACTGAGCTCTCCAAAATCTTCAAATTGGCTCATGCAGTGAATGTACCTCAACAGCAGAGGGCAGCAGTGTATAAACTGCCTGCACACTGACATGTAAACAGTGTCTCAAATTCATATAAGCAACTTTTTAATCTGTAGTGGGTCCATACTAGAAAAGCTCACAAAAATGTTTGTGTGCTGTTAATTAATGATATTCTCCCACAATGCAACACACGGAAACGGACAGCTGGAAAAATATATACATTGAAAACTTGGAAAACAAAAATAAGATTTAAATCATCTTAAATTGAATCTTGTTTTCTGTGACTATAAAATAGTAAACTATATTGATATTTTGTGTACTAACTACTACAACATTTAGTATATAGTGCATACTGCCATGAACGTACAGTCGAAATATGTGAGACACAAGCGGGATGTTAGCAGTCGAGCAGCTGACAAACTCATTGCCCTTCCCTCTCGAGGGAGTTTACCCTCCAATTCTTCACAAGGGTTTCAAGGGTATAAGGCAAAGATGGGACATGGTCGCCATGACGACCGTATTCCTAAGGCGGTGGCAGTCGGCATCTGGTGCATCTGGTGTGGGAGAGCAGAGGGTGTGTGTGTGTCTGTGTGTCTGTGTTTTCACTGCACTATTATCTTACTCATGATGATCCAATGACCTTTTAAGGAGAAGACAATTCAAAAACACAAATGGTTTTGGACTTTAAGCAGATCTTGTTCCTTGCCAAGAGAGATACTTTGTGAAATTGTTTCAGCCAAAGGAAACAGCCTCTGTACCTTCAGAGACTTTGCATCTGAGAAGAAAGATAACATGAAGCCAACTAACTGTATAAAACTCTTTAACAACAGATAACAAAGCCCTGTTACATCACAGCATATTTGACTGATTTTTCACGACGAGGTGAACATACAGCAGACTCATTAAAATTAGAGTAAAAAATCCATGCCATGATCTGCTTCGCTGTGTTAAAACTTAATGAGGTGACTGCATGTTAGTCATTTCTGACTGCACCACCTGTGAAGCCTGTTCTGAATGAAAATTACAACCAATAACGGCACCACGGATGATTCAAAACCTGAATCTATCACACTTACTACAGTGGCATTGTGGTGTTTTTGTGCATTTTTATGTCTCCACCCTTGAAAACTGCTTCCCTTTCCTTTTAGGCTCCACCGTTGCATCCTGTTGGCAGGGATGTATTCTGAGGAAGACTGCAGCACATGCAGCATCTCAGGTTTTGGAACTGACACCTTTCAAAAAGCCCCTATTTGTGTCATGTCCTGCCATCATATCCTGTTTCAAAGACAGTCACAGTGCCCTTGAGATTTTAAATCATGGATCAGGAGTCAAACAGTCGTCAGCTTGTTTGTAGCAGATGAAAATACGTGCTTTTGAATCTAATTAAGTAGTTACTCTGATAATGGCCCAAAAAGTGATACAAAAAGAGCACCTGAAGGAGAAGTCTGGGGATATTTCATGTTTTTCATAACAAATATAATAAAAAAAAGGTCAAATGCAACAATGTACTGATTCCACAAACAAGTGTTTTCTATGTACTTTAGAGGTCTTTGTGCCACGGCTCCATTAAAAACACATCATCGAGCCTAACCTTTGCACTGGGTGACATGTTCCTTCATTGCGATAAACATGCAGCACTGTGGTTTAATTCAAGTCAGTTCCACTACTGGAAACACTCACTAGAGCACCAAATGTGGATTAATCCGCCTCTGAAAATAGTCCCCAACAAATGTGCTACGTTTGAGTAGTGTTTGCTAAAAGTTAGTGCCCAGCTAATTTAGGAAATGATTTAGCCTTTCTTCAAAATGAAACTAGATATTAGTCTCCTGTTTTAAAAACATTTGAGTATTCAGTTTTCAGTAGGAATGAATGGGTTTGGGACTGAGAGCCACCGACCGGGTAGAGAAGTTATATCCATGCAGTTTTTGTCCCGGTTATTTTTACCAGGTCAAAATAGGAAGTTTTTATGCTTTTAATGCATCTTTGATAAATTAGTTACTATTTAATTACTCCCTGTATAAAACCTGAGGTTCAATTGGATCCAAGTAGAATCTAAAATTTACACTGTTGAGGTAATGAAGATTTCAACACCCTTCAGTAAAACATAGAGTAAAAACTGTTTTTCTTTCACTACTGATGATGATGGTTGTCAGATGGTCTTGATGTGCTTAAACCTGAGAGTTTTAGTTTTTTGTCAGGAACAAAAAGGTCCATTGTTGTTCTTCGTGCACTTGTTGGAAATTGTAGGAGTTTTGGATGTTCCAGATGAGACCAGAGCTGGAAAAAGTTATACACAGGATGCATATATGTGGCACACAGCCTCTGCCAGAAAAGCTCTGATTGTCAAGAGAAAGCAGCAGAAAGTTAATTGATTATCCGCCTCTGATACTGATAGCACCTGAAGCTTCTGGATGTAGAACAAACCACACCCACCTGGTTCTCTCTGCAGGATAAAACAAACACCAGGAATCATTTGTAGCTGCTTTCTGATCCAGGTCTGAGTGAGACTGAATCGGAGAGCGACAGCTGAGTCATTCTGACCACTGAGCTCTTTTCCACTTTCTTTTCCAGCAGCCTGATTTTCAGCACATTTAACTAAAAGCTTGGAATTTAATATTGAGCTGAGCCAGTTACACTTTGTCAAGAACTGGCAAAGCCTGTCTCTGATCTTGTTTAGTCTTCTTTCTTCATCCTCCTTCCACCCACCATTGTTTTGCTTTAATTTTGATTTCTTTTTTATTGTTATTTCTTTTTGTATTATTGTGTGTATGGGTTTTGAGACAGGTTAGGGGACACGTCTGGGACCAGCTGATAAGATAAGACAGAGCAGTGTTATTGTAATTGTTGTGTAGCAGTTACAGTGAAAAGAGGTATAAATATAAAACACGCCAAAAATATGAACAAGCTAAGGACCATAAGTTGCTCATGTCCCACAAACTAAGGTGATGATCAAGTCTAAAAGGAAGAAAGCTGACCACATCCTGATTCCAGGATGACATCATCAGCTTGCTGCCAGGAAGCCAGGATGATAAATGGGTGCTTAAGTTCTCGGAAATTGATGGGAGCAGTGATTCTCGCTCACACACACACTCACACACTGATGAGCTGATCTGTACTTCACATCACTCCCTCATCTGTCATCGAAATGAATGTAATCTCTCCGGGACTAAAGAAGCAGCACCTATTGGATATTGTCGACCAGGAAAACACACATAGACACCTTTTCTCCCTTTCTTCCTCACCCACTGTCTGACACACACACACACATACACACATGCAAACACAGCATACATTTGTAAAGCTTGTAGAGGCTATAGAAAGCATCTGGCAACAACTGGTGCCTGTAGATCAAAGGAAAGAAGAAAAGTTATCAGACAACTCACTGGGTCCTGCAGGCTCAATGGTTCTGTATCCTGCTGCATTTTGCTGAAGTAAGTGGAGCTGACATTAATCATTCTTCAGATTCCTGCATTAGTCCAGCAGCACTAAGAGGAAATAAAAAGAGAAAAAAAGGGAATTTTTTACTGTATGTACTACTACTTGTTATTATTAATTATTATAATGCACTGTATGTCATATGTAGTAGCAAAGTTTTAAAGCAAAGGTTAAGGGCATACATTTACTTGCTTTTATTTTAATAGACAAAGTCTCATTACTAAATTCATAGCACCAGGCTGTTTTTTCCCCACTGGAACAAGAAAGTGAAGGAAACAGTCGGTCAGAGTGAGTGTGGAGGTTTGGTTGGTGAAGGAGGTAACATGGACAGAGTGAGTCACCGCTCTGATCCATATCTCCACTTTCCAGCTAAATCACTAAAATGCTGGAAAGGTCTGTTGTTTAAAAGCCACTATGCTGCAGGTAAGTCGCTCAGCCAAGAAATACAGTGTTTGAGATTGTTTCTGACATTTCTGCCATCAACCAAATAACAATTTTAAACAGACTTCTGTTTTTAGTGCTCACAGCATGAAATATTGCATTACAAATTACAACAGCAACTTGTTTTTCCACAATCTGTGTACCTGGTACAATATCCAAAGTGTGATATAGTTTTTACTGGAACAAATTTCAAATTGCAGGAAACATTGCAAGCACATACTGGACATAATAGCTGAATTCTTTATTAAATATCCAGTGTGTAACATTTAGGAGGATCTATTGGCAGAAATGGAATATAATATTGATAGAAATCTTAAGGATGAGACTATATGTTTAATTCAGGTTTAATCAGAATCAGAATTTATTCACCAAGTACTTATGTAAACAATTTTGTGCAGGTGTCAGAAGAGCAAAACAAAGAAGGAGAACAACTAGGTTACAGGGCAGGTAAGGTTCAGTGTGATGGGTCACATGCACATATTGTCTAAAGATACCGGTCATGTTGACTCATAAATGCAATCAGCAGTTTACATAAATACACAGCGGAAATATAGTGTACATATAAATAATAATACATTTTCTGTATTCTCTCAGTACAAACAGTATTGTCAGAAAAAAGAAAAAAAACCATTCATTAGAGTATTAAAAATAATGATCCTGCTTAAACACAAACCCTTGAGACATAATGTTTACCCTACACTGTCGGCCAAATGGTACCTGGCTCCGAACATCAACATGAAGCACTTTCTGCTCACAGGAGGGCACA